TTAAATGCTGGAAGAGTTTCTCCAGTCTGTTCTGCATTCTTTTGTGTTGGGATAGTGCCATCTAGTGCATGTTTGGAATAATAGCCCAGATTTTCTTTCCATTTCTGCAGTCTTATCCATTTTAATCTCCTATACAGTTAAAACATTGTAATTTACCATAGCATTTCTAATAGTTAGTTAATAAATGTTTATTAATATGTGCAAATATAAATTTGGCCTGTGATTCAGTGCCTCAGATAATGCTTTAAGTGATTTTAAATGCTATTTATATGAAACTGGAAGGTAGAGGCTCCAAAAGAATAGAAGTTGGAAAGAAGGTGAACATTTGTTAATATACTTCCTCCCTCATGGCTTGTTAAGAAAAACTTTCAAATTTCTATTAAGGTAGAGAAAATAGTAAAATGTGGCTCTTATATTTATTGCCTAGCTTAAACCCACTTGTAGCTTACTATGTTTAGTCATTTTCTTGCAACCCCAGATTATTTTAAATCATATCAAAGGCAGTCTTTTTTCATTTATAAATGTTTCCTAAGAAAAGTAACTTTAACTTCAAGAGGTAATATTAAGCCTGTTTGTACGTGAGGTTAGATGAATTATTAATTGCCCTTATTAATTCCATATGCCATGCTGTGTTTACTTGTCTTTTCAACGAGTTTTCATAGTCACGGTCCTTGCAACCGCAGTCCTGAAAGCATAATCTTTCCTGATTCTTCTGCTTATTTCGGTGTTAGATGCAGAATCGGAGAGGTTTCAGGGCAGAAGCTGAGGGGTGGTATGAGTAGTGGGTAATGTTCTAGTCCACCTCTGCAGTTGAAGTACAGTTCGTTATTTCCTGGAGACTGTGGGAGTTGGTTGTCACATATCCTCTATAGAACTGTAAAGGAGGAAAAGATAATAGAAACTTCTGTTCAGTGTGATACAGGAAACTTGCCCAATTCAGATTATTTTTGAATAGATAATAGCATTTAACATTTTTGGATGGTTGATTTTTTGGTTAAAAAAGGTTTTTCTTTTTCTTTCTTTTTTTTTTTTTACAGCATATGGAAAAGAAGGTGTGAAAATGAACTTCATAGACCGGATCTTTATTGGTGAATTAACTAGCACAGTTATGTGTGAAGAATGTGCAAATGTAGGTATTCTGAAATTCACTCTGGGATAGATTAAAAGTACATCATTTTGTTATTTTTTCTTTTATGTATAATAATAGACAGTTGTTAAAAATTATGTCATTTCTGAAAGCCTTTAAAAAATATACCCTCCTAGAAAGACTTAATTTTTAATGACTTTTTTCAAGTAAATGTTTATGTGTATGATTTTCCTCTTGACACACCTATGTTGTGCTTTTATCCTATCTTAACATACTAGAATATGTTAACTACCTGTTTAGACTGAAACAAGAAAATTCTGTGAAGACAGTAGCTGTGTTACATTGCAGTGTCCTGAAATGTAATTCCAGTTGAAATAATACAGTGCTAACATGATGATTCTATGCTGTCTGATTGAAATTTTATATTTATATGACTACTGAAGGTTTTGTGTGTGTGTGTGTGTGTGTGTGCATTCATTTTTGGATTTGGAAATAACTTCATTTTAAATACCATCTGTAAGGACAATTTAAGCATGTAAAAATTTTATAGACTTTTCATTTGCTTAGTATGGAATATTTCTTTGATAGGTTT